CTCTAAAGTACATGTAATAATACTGATGACAGGAAACAAAATAGTAGGCCTACCTACCATGTATGAGCATAGATTTTTAGTGCACCAATTCTTGCAAAATTACTGGCCACACATTCAAAGTCTTCACTCGTTTTCACACAGCACAACACATTTGACTGCTGCATATACAATATCCTAGTCCTACTCAGGTACAAAAGCTTATCAATTTAAATATTAAATGAACACAAACCATTCCAGTAAATGTGAAGCGTGCTGACAAAATGAGTTTTTTCTCGGATTTGAGCCAAATGGAAATAGATACATCACTCTTATGGGTGAAGTTTTCACAAAGTATAGGACAGGTATAAAATAATAAAGGAAGAGTCTCCCGAGACCAGAATCCTCGTCTGCGGAGACACCCAGTCTAGGGGGACCATGAAAACATTTTGCTTTTCGCATGCATGACCACACGAATCATTTCCTTCTGCTTCCAAGTGTTGTCATTTCGTTTTCCCAAAATGGCGGGGATGGTTGCATCGGTGGCAATCGAGACATAAAAGTAAAAGTAAAAGACAAGATGCAATCTAGATCAAGGCCTAGTACAGGCTGGCTGAATGGTGAAACATACAAGTACACCAAAAATATACATGTAATTGAACTTCGTAATCTGGCGTTAAATAGCGTTCCCCACGTGAAATGTTCAAATTTTGGGTCGCCGATCACGAAAATCTTTATTTTTATTTGGATAATATTTTGGAAATTTTTGGAAAGTATATTTAACTTCGTCATGGCACCGGATCAGTCCTGTCCTAGTGCTGTATCAGTTTTGACACACAAGAAATCCATGGTGGGACAGGACAGTCCTGTCCGAGACAAGAATGTTGTAGTGTGGTAGTAGCCTTATTCATCTCTCTCTTTCTCTCTCTCTCTCTCACCCACTCTCTCTTCCCCTCTTTCTTTCTTTTTTTCTCACTTCCTTTTTGTCTGTCTGTCTTTCATTTGCTCTCTCTCTCTCTATATATATATATATCTCTCTCTCTCGAGATCTCTCTCGGATAAATAACTCACCCAGGTTTTGAAAGAAAAGACCACCTTTTTAATCTCCGAGGACTGGTCCCCCTAGACTCTTCCAATAATAAAAGGCATGTTATACTTTAAAGAATAAGACATCAATAGAAAATCTACAAATTTGACCCTAGTGTCGATTTTTGGTCAACATTCCCATTCATGGATTGCGAGAAGAAACTCATTTTGTCAGCACACCTCACAAATGTACACACATTCTATTTCTAATTCTATCAGTTATTCCATATTGACAAAGATGGGTTATTTGCACGTCTGCTCCATCGCTCCTGTTCCCGGTCATCATCCACACCGGCTAACACATCTCCCATCGCTGAAGCGGCCATCTGGAAGTTGTGGACATGATACAATTAGGTAGGGGTCCACACTACAAGAATTCATGTACAGTAGTAAAAGAGTTACCAAAGTTGTTTAATACAGTAGTCTCTGCCTAAGATCCTACCGCTTACGATCCTGATTCGCTTAAGATCCCGTTGTTTTAGGAAAACATAATTTTTACTTCATAGAAGTCACCCCTAAGATCCCGCTCTGATGGTCTACATTCGGCTAAGATCCCGCATTTCAGATAATTTGCAAAACAAAAACCTAGGCGGGCACAGCCGATCAACCAAGAGTGAAAAGTTAAGATCAATAAACTGTCCGTCGCGTCAAAGATCAGCCACTATCGTGAATGTGATCACATACACGTTGTAAAACTCGATGAAGCGATACAATGTTTGCTCCAGATGGGATCACACCGGGGTGTGAACTGACCGACTTGTTTGTTTTCCCCACACATCGTACTCACACCTGAGCTCTCCCCCTAAACTTGCATCACTCGCTGGGTGGGTAGGGCCTACACGTTCGCTCCAGGCGGGATCACATCAAACCGTGAACTCTTCCCTGACCATTGCAGCAGTTGTCTCTGCTCCCGAATTTTCGACACAGACTGAATTTTAATTGATGTGTTCACAACGTAATGGTGTGTAACGACAAAGGCGGTTTGGGGGGGAGGGGAGGACTCGGTCAGAGATGGAAAGCTATACATTTTCGACAGGTAAAGGGGAGGGGCAACTGGATAAGCGTAGATCTTGAGACTCATGATAGGATAATAAGTGAAAATAGTACGCCTCATGCCACTATGCACCGTGATAGGTCATCAAGGTTAACCACTCTTTGCTCGCCATAAACCCACCAAGGGGGTACGTCAGTTCATTGTGGAGTGGAGGGAGAACATTTTACCGAATGTGAGCCTTAACATGGGTCACCATAGATTCTTCCCTGGGTTCGTCGGTTAAGATCCCGGTTCGCCTAAGATCCCGCATTTCCTTGCTCCCGAGCACCGGGATCTTAGGCGGAGACTACTGTAGTACAGTGCAGCCTCTACAACCTTCTGTATAGCGACATGGTGCCCAGGTCCTGATTTTTTTCTTGATATACCATTAGTAATATTTTTGGTAGCCTCTCTATAACGACATCTCTCTTTTACGACATTTTTTTCAGTTCCCGCCAATGTCGTTACAGAGAGGCTACACTGTAATAGACATTACTACATCTAAGGAAAACAAACACAATAAATCAATAAAAGTTCTTTATACAGTTGACTACAGATGATGAGTTGATTTCATCAGGGGAGAGACAAAAAGATCAACTCATCCGAAGTTCCAACAAAAATAAATGTACAACATGTAATTAAATCGACAGCGAATTACCCTAAAGTAAAAGTTGATCAGTAGAATTTTCTAAAATGTTGACTTGGCTTTTTTGGGCACCAGAGCCCAATTTTTGGTAAAAAGTAAAAAAGGACCGGCTCAAGGCATGCGGACAGACAGGACCTGAAGCATTCTATAGAAACAGACTTTAAATGTATGTAACAAATGAGATTGCCATCATTATGTTTTGATTTTAGTAGAGGTTTTACGGCGCTCGCAACTGCATAAGGTCATATGAGTGCCAGAAGATTTGAGGTGTTACAAGAGAGTAACAAACATAAAAAAGAAGGAGGGGAGGTAAGGAGGATAGATGTTTGGTAGGAAATAAGGAGCAAACCACACCAGAGCACCTGCCAACCACCCACTGCCCTCCTTAGCCCCAGCATATTTTTAGGACAACAGTATGCTTATCCCAGCTAGTTGCACTCTCAATCTCATAAGGTAGCAGTCAAAGAAATAAAGGTGCAAATTTTTCCCATGTCATTAAAGTAAAGTTAAAAGAAAAGGCTGTAACAACATAATATGAGTTGTTGAATTGGGGAGGTTAATTAAATAAGTGAAAAAGAAGCAGGGTCCCAAAGAAGTAACCTAAAAAAACCATGAGAGAGTTAACTGAGCTAGCCAAAGACAAACCAGTACCGTACTTCAAATACTACAAAGTCAATGGAGTTGGTTCGCAAGAGCCAATTTTGCGGCAGAAATAATTTTGTTACTATGGACAAGCAATCAAAACTGAATGCGACTGCAGAGAGCGAAGAATATTTTTAAAAATTCCTCTGTTATTTTAACACTTTGCAGTCACACAGCCAGCAGTACAAAACACCCCATCTGGTCACCCAGCCAGGAGAGTGAACGTAACGGACTTCTCGGGCCTGGCGCAAAACTGCGCCAAGTGACTGGAACGGATAATTTTCACCGGCGCATGATGGCACCAAGTGACTGCAAAGTGTTAATAATAGCCTACTATTGATTTCCATTCTATACGTACTACGTTTGCCTCCTGGCGCTCCTGACTAATGTTGTCATTGAAGATATAGGCAGAACCAGGTCTGGAGAATTCTAACACATCTCTTGACGGTATAGATGGGTCATCTTTAGAAACCTGAAACAATTGATATAATAGTATTAATAGCAAGTAAAGATGTAAGTCTTGCCACCAATAAATGAATGAATGACAAGAAATTTTTTTTAAAAGTTGAAGGGATGTCCCAGGGCAGGGGTACATGGTGGCCTCTCATAAGACAGTCTTTAAAAATATATACAGTAGTCTCCACCTTAAATCCCGGTGCTCGGGAGGAAGGAAAATGAGGGATCGGACCACAACCCTGAACCCTGCGGGTGTCATCTCAGACTAAAGGGGGAAGGGAGGCAATTCATCAAAGCTGTATTATAATATTTAGTCAGAATACAGTACTTTCCCCTACTACAGAGTGGCAGGAGTTTTTCCATTATAATAATAGGGAGTGTATACAGACTTGGTAACCAGGAACAAAGTCACAAAGTATACAGACCCTGTAGGGGAACTCCTTAGTGATTTCGGAAAGTTTCAGCGCCCTCTTGGCTCAGGGTCACAGAATTCTGTGCTCAGGGTAGACCTAGATTCTAGGTTCTTCTAGATCTATGGCCTCGGTCTAGATCTAGACAGACAGACATAAATCATTGATCTATAGTTTCGAGGCTAGCCTACATTTAGATATCTAGATCTAAATGAAGATTGCGGATGTCTTTTCGATGAATGATCGTTTTTCCTCTGTTTTGGAGTTGGAGGAATCACAATTTGAAGAAAAGAACAATGTCATAATTTCTCTCGAGCAGTCATCCTCTCTTTCTCTCTCTCTCTCTCTCTCTCTCTCTCTCTGTGTATCGCTCGCATTCTCTTTTACTTTGTTTGTCTCTGTCTTTCTTTCTCCCCACCTATTTCCCACTCTTATCTTTCTCTCGTTCCCTCCTGCCAACTGGGGCATGTCATATTTTGCTTGCACTTCCCCCTGCTGTCTCTCTCTCTCTCTCTCTCTCTCTCTCTCTCTCTCTCTCTCTCTCTCTCTCTCTCACACACACACACACACACACTACCGGGTCTGGGGGCTGAAACTTTCCGAAATCACAAGAGTTCCCCTACCGGGTCTGTATACTTCGTGACTTTGTTCCCGGTTACCGGGCCTGTATACACTTCGATAATTATAACCTTAAGGCAGTTATCATTCGATATCAATCTCCCTCCCATAATTCAGTTTCTGCACAAGTTACCGAGGCATTTGTTCTGTGATTACTGTCACTGCATCAGTTAGATAGACTTAGCTCTCAAAGCTGGGAGTATTCTTAGACAGGGGTTTCTTTATCCTCATGACTGGTAAATCATAAACATCTAGCCAGAAAATATTCATGATTTATCTTGTTATCATCATATAAGTTATTAAAAAATAAAAGAATTGAATTTTATAAGTAATTTAAATTTTACAATCCTTGGATTTACTTAATCTCAAATGCACACTGATTGGTGCAAAGATTTGAGATAGCCTACTTACTTTCTTGACGATGTCCATTCTGACTAGGTCTGCCTTTGGTGTGCGTTTGCAACCAGCAGCTGTGAAAGTATGTCACACAAAGAGCATCCAATAAACTGTTCTTTAAAGGACCAGGAAGTTGAAGTCATAGTGTGTTTTTCTTGATATAATATTAAAACCCCTCCTACTATACACATGTTACTTTATATAGACACACGCATGCATGCACGCATATTCACCAACACATACTCACGATCATAACATACACACACTGGCTAACAACCTTTACTGTAACATAAAAGACAGAACAGAAGGAAACTGTCTCAAGACCACTCGACCACAGCCAGTCTTCACCAAGCAAGCTGAAGCCAATTACAGCCGAGTGGTAAACTTACACACACGGTTTCATAAATTTTTTTGTGTATAACATATTGTAATAAAATGAGTTCCTCCATTTGACTCAACTTAACAAAGTGAACAAGAATGTTGGAGCCATTTATTCTTCTTACACCATGACAATGCAGATTCAGATGTAAGTTAAAATTTGTGATACGCAAGCAAGAGCTACTATTTATAAACAGGCAATGCTATTTTTGGAATATGTTGCGATAATGTGAATGACATATCTTCCCTCTTTGAAGTCTACTGACGAGTTAAGGTTCATAAGTTGAGAAGCGGTATTGAACATTCTAACGGAAACTAAATGAACAGTTTAAAAAAATAATTTTTTTACAGTATAATGAGAAAATGATTTTCTAAACAATAAAGAAATTACTTTGAAAAAAAGTGAATTTACCTGCAAAAAAGGCCCAAATAGAGTCGTGGGCGGACGCAAAATCAACTGCTGACCTGTTGGAAAAATGTTTTTAATGATAATATTTCTATAAATGATTTCAGATCAAATATCAGTCATGGCAAAAATTACAAGGAATGACTTTTAATTGAAAGGTGGTACTTTATACTCAAAGTAAATACCCAACATGAAGTGAGGGCTGTTTCATGTCGTAAGCTTTAGCTATCAACCATTACATATCCCAAGTTTCTCATGGATTTTTCACTGCAACGTCAGAATCCCGTGTGAGTCAGAGTAGGCTACATGCTGGTAATGCACTGTATAGCTTTTGTGCAAGAGGAAGTCTGTCTGCCTGCCTGCTTGTCAATCTGTTTGTCTGTCCGTCTGTCTCTGAATTGTACACATACACACACACACACACACACACACACACACACACACACACACACACACACACATACATACATACACACACACACACACACACACTCTTCTCAGAGCAAAATAATTTTTTTTCATTTAAGCATAAAAGTTGTTTAGCCAAAAAACAAAATTCCGATAAAAATTGCTAAACTGGTGGGAAAATGCCTTTTTCTTCGATTTCATTATTTTGACGAGCACCTGATTTCACCACAATGCCTCACAAATCTTCCATGATAAATATATATGTCAACTTGAGTGAACAAAAAGAAAGAGGGAAACAAGTTCTCGTATTGACCTTCCTTGTGTGTCCACTTTGTACAGATCTGGCTGGCGATCCATCAAGGTCATGATGACTTTGCCGTGGCCTTGAAAAGCTGCGCAATGTAGGGCAGTCCACAGGGTCCCACTGTTACAGGCATTGATGTCAGCTCTGCAATGTAGAAGTTTGGAAAATGATCCAGTTGAGTTGAAACAAAAGCAATAAAACCCGTTACAGTCGACTACGGAAGAGTTGATGTTGTCAGGGGAGTGGAAAAAAACCCAACTCATCCGAAGTTGAACTTAACCGTTAGGACCTGTAAAGAATTTGAGATGCTGGAACCCGAGGAAAAGATAAAATTAACCAAAGATTAAGTTAATTAACTCCCGCGATTTCAACACAAGAGGAGAGGACTGTATCATTTTCATACAACTCCCCACCCTCGATCACTCCACCCGCACCATTTTCAATTCAACATAGAAAGTGAATAGTGCACTGATCAATTACATTTCCCAAAACCTTGATACAAAGTTATTATAAAAGCTCACTGACTGGTCATTCCTGGAGTCACTTGCAAAAACTTCTATGATCATGACAGGAGAGAGATAGTTACAGGTGGTCTATACGTCACAGGTGGTCTATACGTCACAGGTGGTCTATACGTCACAGGTGGTCTATACGTCACAGGGGGCCAACAAAAGTAAATCTTAAGCCTACATATGGCAGAAATCCATGAAGCTAAATACAACTCCTATAGATATTAGATAGAGACTGAGAAGGGATAATTTTATTTTTCTGACCCAGCCACCATCGGAGTTCTAGCCCTTCGGCCTGATGGAGAAGGGATAAAAGCTCATACATTTCAACCACACATTTTTGTGTGCATACATTGGCCTAAGAAATAAAAGCATTTTGAAGTGTCTTTTTTTTCAACGCTAGATTAATTATCTTACCTTCCAAATAAATTAACCCCCTACCATGAAATACAGGTCAGTTGATTGCTCGATAAAAAATCTTGAAGGTATAAAACACTAGTTTTCATATCATACTATCAGCGAGATAGTTTTTCTGCTTTAACAACTAATGATGCTTTAAAAAAAGAACTTCTGTAGTGCAGGTCCTATTTTGTCAAAACAACACTAACACATTTTTTTAAGGCACTATTTGACACTTTCATACCCCTTTTCAATGAGTAGGTCCACTAGATGATCATAGCCCCAAAACGCAGCCACGGCTAATGGTGTCATTCCATCTCGAGACTTTTTGTTTGCGTCTGCCCCAGATTCCAGGAGTCGTTTCACAGTCTGAAAAGCACAACTGGCATATGTGAATGATGGTCTAATTTTCCACACTAATAAAAAAGTGATGTATTTCTTTCAGGAAACTTAAAATCCATATGTTACCAGGATCAAACGTAATAGATAGAAGCATTATGATTATTTGTTAAACTTTATGAAGGAAAAGGAAGAGGTCAGAGAGACAATCAATCATTAACGTAAGGTGTATGCAGAAAGTCATGCAATTGACCACATAGATAACTATAATTATCTTTGGGGATATAGAGATAATTTTGGTGTTTGCAATTCCGGCGCTTTTTCTGTAGTTCCCACCCCGCAATTGTTATTCGCCGGTTTTGGCCTCAAGAGAGGGGGGTTTCAGGGGGGCTTGCCTGTCCTAATAAAAATGTGGTGGGGGGTTTCAGGGGGGCATGCCCCCCTGAATTTTACCATAATTTGATGTTTTGCAGTTGTTAGGTTTGATATCTTAGCTCGCATCAAACGTATAGATCTCGATGTAGATCTAGGTCAGGCTCAAAATATAAGGGGGGTGGGAACTACCGAAAAAGCACCGCAATTCCTTCCCTTTAAAACTCTCTATCAGAGTTACATATTTCTGACTGTTACAAAACATTGGGAATGATCCATAATTATTTTTAGACTAGCCTTGAAAAATTCTGCTAGATTATAAAACCTAAGAAACAAGCTTAAAATAAATATCAAGAAAACATATTTATGTTAGATCTAGATCTAGATCTAGAATATACTATAAAAAAAAAAAGATTTAGATCCAGAATCTAGATCTAGATCTAGATCTAGTAGCCTTAAGACTTAAGAGTAAGTTATGAATGGGAGTTAACAGTCTTTATTTTGCCTGAACATATGGGTTTTTTAAAATAATAAAGAGTAAACAGACGAACCACTTATCTATATATATATATGTGAATGGCAAGGACGGGGAGTGGGGGGGGGTCAGTTTAATGCTGCACGTCTACATGTCCAGTGAGAAACAATGAGACTGCAGTGGATAACTTGCTTACAGTTGTTGTCTAGATCTAAGTCGTGATCCGAGGAACAAAAGAATTACAAAGATCAGAGAGATTTTCAATACACAGTACGTGATAAAGAAACACCAAGTATTCACAACAGGCGAACAACCCTTTTTGTGCATTTAAAAAGACCAGATGTATTCTCAATATTACCGTGTAATCACCAGCTCCAACAGCACTGGCAACTGAACTGGGCGCCGCCATATTGCCGTTGCGCAGCTACGAAAGCGTTCCCGGAAACGAGTCCATTCACCCATTACTCTAACTTCTTTGACAAAAGAAGGAATAGAGGGCCACGCAAAAGTGGGAGTGGCCCAAAAGTTCTTGGCTCGCAAAGCGCGCACTGCGAGAAGTGTGGCTGCCACACACGCGAGCGAATGTTTACACTTTGACGCGAACGTGCTTGAATGACCTTAGACCCGCTAGAGGCAAAGCTTTCATTCAGTTAAAAAAACCTTTCCGGGTATAGATCTAATATATATGCGTGCGTACGCGATCACTTCATAGACTTCTGTCTGTCAAGAGAACAGGGCACAGCCAACTTCGTGTTTTTAAAATGAGATGTCAGGAGAGCTGAACTGGAAAACTGCATGTGTGTAATTGTGATAAAGGTACAGTAAATTAAAAAAAAAAAGTTTTATAAATGTAAAATAATATACGTAAAAAATAATTTTAGAGGTTTTCACCAAAGGTGCAGTAGCAGGAACGAAGGAAAGTGTAAAATAAATCTGGTGACAAACCCGTGTTCCCTCGTACAGGAAAAACGTCTTCACTCTTCCACATCATCACAGCGACCAGGAAGATTGTCGGAGTACAGTGCCGAGTAGTGCCGACGGCCGGACTTGGAGCTGGCGTCATTGCTTGGAAGAAACCCGGTGTGTCGAGTGCGCTCTGCGATTTTTTTTATTCCCCGGGAATTCTTTCAATCATCGAGGATAGATGTCACCGTGTGAGAGTCAGGCGCCTTGCAACAATAAATGGCAATGATGATAATACTGATAGATCTATTTTTCAATCAGCGATTTCTACAAATAAAAGAAAAACAATAATATTCAACAAACGTAAACAATCAAACTGCAAAACAAATTAAGATGTATAACTAAAAAGAGCGGCAACGTTTTCTAAGAACTCGAACAAGGAGGTTGTGTAAAATAAAGTTAATGATCAGATTTTGAGACTGCGCAAGTCTACACTAGCCTAATGACCGGAAGAAACAGACCGAGAGAAAACAAACCAACAACCTAAAAATGCTATATATTTTTTTAATGCACAAAATACCCCATAAGTGACCCATCAACTTACCATAAACAAAACTCAGGCAATAGCTACAGTGAAATATGAAGTGTGAGGCTTTTCAGAGGCAAATGATGTGCAACAAAATGACCAAGGCAAAAAGTAAAAAGTCGAATGCTCTCGAGGACGAAAATTACGCCTTCTTCACTTATTCCTTGCCTCTCATTTTGGCGTGCCTTTGCTATCTCAACGGGTACGCTGGTGATTTTGTTCATGACGATGTGTTCGCGATTAAAAACAACAAAGACGTCACTGGCGAGACGTTCATTTTGGATTTATTCAAGAACGATTTCTGGGGGCGGCGGATGAACGACAGCAACAGTCATAAGTCTTACAGGCCTCTCACAACGCTTTCTTTCCGGTAAGCGTCAAACTCAATGTGTATGTCTCTCCCTTTTCCCCTCTCTCTGCCTTTTTACCTATACGTTTGTTTGTCTATTTGTCT